TGAGGACCAGAGCGAGGGCGGCCTGCCCGAGGGGGTCCGAGGAGCCGGCTCAGCCCGACTTTCCCGGAGCCGGGCAGGCTCTGCCCCAGCCAGGGCGGGTGTGCGAGGCTCCGTCATGGAGGGCGTGTTAGCTTCTGGGCTGACACCCGGCCACAGCGGCCACAGGGCGCAGCCCTGCCCTGGGGTCCCGGGCCTGGGGCTCTTTCTGCAGCTGTCCCCGGATCAGAGTGCCCGTGGTGGCACCGTGGCTCTGGGCTGAAGTGGTACTGTGCGTGCTTGAGTCCGTGTGCCTGTTAGCCTCAGGGACCACTCCACCGTCCCCTGCCCCCTTTAGGAGGGGTCTGGATGTCGCGGTGTAACTTTGAGTGGTGCTCTGGGCCACTTTGCTCACAGTCTTCCATGTGTCAGGGCGTCTGCTGCGCCTGTGAGGCTGTAACTGTGGGTGTCACTTGTTGCTGTGTGTGCTCTCTGGGTGACAGTACCATGTGTCAATGTTTATGTGGCTGTGACTCCCGGTGCACTGTTCCTGGTCGCCCTGAGTGGGGAGCTCTGGGGGACATTAATGCGCCCACATCACTCTCGTGCCGGGACTGTGCTGAGCTGAGACTGTGTGACCCAGGCATAGATGCCGATGTTGCTGTTGTACAGGGTGCTAACAGGCAAATTTGTCTACCTGGACTGCAGGCGTCCATCAGTGGTTTCTGCTGTAGCTCCTATGGAATTGGCTCTTCCAAGCTCGGAGTGTTGCGTGTGGCCATAGGTGACCATAGGTCAGTGTCTCCTCTGGCGTCCCATAGTGCATTTTACAGTGTGGGTTTTGCCTCTGTGGCGGGCCTTCGAGTGTGCACCTGGGGTGTTTGTGTCTCGGGATCTTTAAGCTGTGTCTTTGTGATGGGTGGTGTGCACTCAGATGGATGTGAGGGGGCGTGTGTGAGGACCGGACCTGTACCCCCATCCTTGCTGATTGACCACTTCCACGGTGGCTGTGTGCTTTTGTTTCTTCCTGCTTCTCAAAACTCATTTAACGTTGTGGGGGTCAGGCCTGTCCTGCCTGTTACCGGGCTGCGTGACCGATAGGGGAAGGTGAGCTTGTATGTGGCAGCGGGGCTCTGTGGCCAAGTTGCTGTGGACACAGCTGCCTGTGTCTGCGAGCGCCTGCGATCGTGTCTCTCGGCGCACAGGTGCGAGAGTGGTTTTGTGGTGTTTGTGTAGCTTCGTGTTCGATTACTGGTGTGCACATTTGCACAGGGGTGGGTTTGCATCTGTGTGTGTGGCTTTGTGGTACGTGGGTCTATGTGTGTGTGCTGTTGTGTAATTTCGGACGCTGCCGTGTGTATTTGTTAGCACACGGTTCTGCGGCTCAGGATTGGTGTGCACAGATCCCCTGGGTTTGGGGGCGGGCTGTTTATGTCTGTTTGGTTTCTTTGGTACAGTGAGAGTGTGTTTAAATATTGGTGTACAAGGCTGTGCGTTCAAGCAAGAGAGAGAGAGAGAGAGAGAGAGAGAGAGAATGTGTTTCCTGGTGCACAACCCCATAGCACATGTATGTGAGCTCAGGCAGTGCCCCCACTGGGCAGCAGGAGCCAAAAGAGTTGAGGCCTTGGAAGTGCTGGGGGAGGGGCACTGTCCTAGAGACCCTGGGGGCTTCCCAGGCCCAACCCCCAACCCCACCAGCAGGCAAGGATGCCGCCTTCCAGGAGGCTGAAGCTGCCAAGCACAGCTGGCAGATGCCCGGATTAACCCTGTGTGTGCCGTTGGCTGGCACTGGGAGAGGCTGGCTGGAGCAGGAGAGGGGAGGGGGGTGCTTGTGGACTCACACAGCTGTTGGGCCAATGGGACATCCCGGCGCTGTCTGTCCCAACAGCCCCCCGCCCAGTCCATACTGCTTACAGGGCGG